TATCAGAGAGACCAAAAAAACCCCAAAAACCTAGCACAGACATGGTATTGTGGCACATCAAGAGCAATGGGAGTGGGGATTTGGTTGGCAGCGTCCCTTTGGAGATGCCTGTGAGAGCGAAAGCAGATCATTCAAGTGTCCCCAGTTCAGCTGCCCAGAGAAGATCTCCTGGGCCCTAGACACCGTGCAAAGCTGGCAGGGAGCTGCCAGAAAACACCACTTTCACTGCAGAGGAGGCCCTCTTGTTCCCCATTTAGGCTGCTTATAGATGCATGAGACAAAAGGTTGTTTTTCCTTTTGCCTTGTAGTTTAAGCTCAAGGTTTGATACTCCCGGAGCAGTGGATGTCCAAGGGCACAACTCCCCGTGACTGTGCCCATGTAAAATGGCCTGTGCTGGCAGGAGGCGGATGACAGTCAGAGATACCACTGACATCATTTTAAGGCTGGGTGAACACATCGCAGCTGGAAAAACACTAAAAAATGGCATTTATACACGTACAGTCAACTGCACTATAGGCAGTGCTGGTAGGAATGCTTGCTTTTCAAGTTATTCAAGACATCCCATTATACAACCCCATTTTCAGTCAACTAAAGCTTTGCCAAACATTTTGAGGTGATTTTTTCCATGCTGTATGGCTGCCTCTGACTTCTTTGAGGGAAAGATCCAGCCAAACGGGCTTGGCCAACACCTGCCACCAAGTGCAAGAGGCAGGGGCAGAAGAAGCTGTTTTGCACCACGCGAGGCATCTCTGGTGACCTTTTCGCTAAACGACTTGAGCATGCCCCTGCTTTGGAGCAGAGATTTGAAATCTGGCAAGAGGGCCAGATGTGTCAGGGATTTGCCATGGGTCTTTCCATCGCCTCCCATCTGGGAAAGCCTCCGTGTCCCCATCATCTCCTGCTTGGCTGCGGCACCTCGTAGTTGCTGCCAGTCCCCATGTTGTCTGAGGTGTCTGACCTCTGCCTGGTGCCTCTCGGTTTTACAGCCCCACTAATGAGCCACGGGGCTGTCAGTATGGTGTGAGACCACGGGATTTCTGTCTTTTTGTGACTTGAAAAACTACATCCAGAAAGTTGTGTTAAAAATGATTACAGCCGCACACTGAAATATTGAGAGGTTTAGAAGTGCCAGGATTGAACCAACCTGTGCAAATTCAATTCACTTTCCAAAGCTGGTTTAAAAGAGATCTGTTGCTACTTTCTTCATCCCACACAGCTGGCCTTCCCATCTGAAGTTTCATGTAGTTTTAGTTACGGTGTATTGATAGCCCCCAACCTTTTGTTGCTTTTTTCAATACAGCTCGAAGCGGAAGTGTTTGAAATCAGTTGAGATTTCACAAATGTTACTTTTGCTGTGTATCCTAAAAGCAATACTCTTCCTTGCATCTTGGGCAGCAATGACATGAAAGAGATGTTTAGGACAGAGACCTAACTTTTGCCATTAGCCCACCAACTTTTATCTGGATACCCGTGAACGCGTGGGCTGGCACAGACGGGGCCCAGCTCCGTGATGCCCTGAATCACAGGATGGCACAGGATGGTCAGTGTGTTTTCGGTCACATGGACCGACCCCATCATAATCATCTCTCTCTGTTGTCTGATCGTTGCCTGTACCAGCACCCTTGTCAACTGATATTTATAAAAGAAATATGTCCAAGAGTTTTCATAGTAACAATGCTACATGAGCAGGCAACTGAAGTTTACGTTTCCTTCGGCATAGTATTTCTAATATACAGCTATTAATTCCTCTATAAGCAGAGGACGTATGCATAAGGGCATGAATGATCTTATTGTAAAGGCACTTGCCTGGGCTCAGATGGCAGGAGTACAACTCCTAGCTCTGCCGCAGACTGCCCGTATGACCTTGAACAGGCCTCGACCCAGCTCACTGGGCATATTTAGGGATGCACGTCCCGTTGGCATTACTTGGAGGTAAGCACCTCCGTACTCTGGTGGATCTGCTACACTGAGGGTCCTCCAGAGAGCCTAAGCTTACAGAATTCAATTGCTCTGTGCCTCAGTTCCTCATTTTAAAATGGCAATACAAGCAGCTCTTGGTCTTTCTAGGGGCACCTTATCAGGCTGTTGAACGATCTTACCTTGATGTCCTGCATTGCAACGTCACAGAGACAGAGGGAAGGTGCTTCCATGCCCCACTCTGCACCAGCTCCTCTTCCTGCAGGTCCCCGTCTGCAGGTTTTCCAAACGTGAGTGCAGCCAGCCTGTTCCTTCAGCCAGTCCACAGATCCCGTGTTGTGCATGGCTTTGCTTTGAGGTATCTCAGTCTTCCATTACTCTTGTGTGGCAGAGACTGCACTGTCCTAGCATGAGCTTTCTCTCAATTTCTTTCTCTCATCATCTGGGCGGGCTCTGCCTCTCCCTACATAGCCGGTGCCCTGCACACCCCGTCAGCCTGGGGACTGAGGTCTGTTGCTTTGTTCTTCTCACACCGTGGGACTTTCTATAGAAAGAGAAAGGACCTGGAGAGAAGGCGGAGCCTTCCCGAAGAACAAGCCCACAACTGCAGAACGAGATCTTCTGGAATTAAGGACCATTACCAAATAGTGGGAAAGCCCATGGATGCAGTGAGCTGGGATAAGCTAGAATGGGATAGACGAGAGCCCTGTTTTAACACGGGTCCTAAGGAATGGATAATAAGAAATTAATACTAAGAAACACAGAGGAACTCAGGCAGGAGGGAGTGACACAACAAAACAGTTGCAGCAACTGCATCTTTGACTCTACCATGCTTGTTAGAAGATTATGCTTTCAGTCTTGATCCGTTAATACAGTTTTCCTTTTATTTAGTGTACAGCCCCATGGGTCTCACAGTTATTACCCATGGATGCCCAAGGGATTTGTGCAGGTGAGGAGCTTAACTGTCTTAGGTGTAGTCAATTTTGTGGGTAATACTGATGCGAAGTGAGCAGCATTTGCAGCTAATTAAAATGCTACACTTTAAAATAATTTTTGCTAATTACTAATATTTAGCAGCACTATTTTAACTGCAATTTCCATGTTCCATGGGGATTTGAACTCTGTTAATTTCCCACTGACTCTCTTGGCACCATTTAGCATATCAAAATGACCATGAAATTAAAAAAACTTAGTCATTTTACTTCTCTAGGAATTAATGCTAGCAGTAACAGGAAAAAAATTTGCTGCAGGAAAAATATGACCAAATTCAGGCCCTTCCCCCTTTTTTTCCCCCCAAAATGCAATTATGCTGTAGTGCTGACTGACCCAGAGGAGCACAGAAGCTGCTCTGGGCACAAGCTGCGTTTGCTCTGCCAGGAGGAGGATGCACAGAGCCACATTTCCCTTGCAAACAACACTGTTGTCCCGTAAGGCTGGGCAGCGAGCTAGTGCTAAATAGCATTCTCTTGGCCTCAAAATGAGTCAGTATCTGTCAAAATCGGTGGCCTGATCTTTTAACTCCCACTCTGGGCACTGGCCGCTGAAATGAAGCTACTACCCTTGTGCAACGTCAGACACCAAACCACCGGCAGAATGAGTGCTAGACCCGAAGTTTGTTGTTTCCCAGGTTCCTGCTTGCTTAACAGACCACACTGCTTGCCCCTGTAAGACAGAAATGTCCTTTAAAAAGGATGAAAAAGAGAGGGGGAATGTGAGACTTCTGTTTGGAATAAGGCAGAGTGCATTTGCAGCGTCCTCACATCATCACAGCAATCCAAACACACAAATAACGGCACTATGTGAATTTGCAAGAAAAATTGCTCAGTTATTTAGCAATAAAATCTCCAAATCAGCCTCTGACAGTCACTCTGAAAAACGATGTAAACATTCAACACAAGAACAATCAAAAATAGATCAGTTGGTTTTTTTTTTTTAACTGAAAGGGAAGACTCGCATCTTTTCACTGAACGCATGTCTACACAGATCAATGTCAGCTCTTACTCATTTGCTACTTTTAACTATTTGTATTTATTCCTGTTACTTGGGTCTTAGTCACCTAGCCATTGTGATAGCCTTATTCTACATGCTTTGATTAAACTAAATTCTGGGTCTTTCTCGGGAGCGCAGGACACATCATTTTCTGGTCCTCTATTGTACATCTAGCATCCTATACCTGGCCCTGCACACAGCCTCCCTAGCAGCCCCCCTCTCTCTCCCTCCTCGCAACAAGAGGGTAGCCAGAAGAGTTACCACCCTGGCTCCACCACTGGATCGCTTGTCCACCCTGTGCACATCATGTAACCTTTCCTTGCCTTTTAGAGCCACGAAGCCCCATCAATCCTGGTGGGATGAGCCTAGCAGCAAGGATTTGTTCTTCTGCGTTTGCTTTCCCCACTTGTAAACTGAGCATCATAATACTTGCCTAGATCAAAGGGGGTACGGGGAAAATTAAATAATTAATGTATGTAAAGCACTTTGAAAGATGAAAGATGCTATGTAAGTACAAAGTATTAACTACAAAAAAACCCCAAAACCCAGTTACTGATGTAAGTCTCCAGTTTATTCTGTAAGAAATGCATGAAATCGAAATAATTGCCACTAGCAAATTAAGAGTTAGATTATGCCAACCCCTAAAACAGCTATGCAGGGGACCGAGAGCCTTGCCTCCTCCTGTGGCTGAGTCAGGGCGCCTGTATGAGCAAGAAGGAGCTGAAAGCGTGCCCACAACAGGGGTTTGGAAGGGAAGGCACTTCCTGCATCACTGAATCGTCTCAAGCAACCATGTCAAATGGTGCAATTCAAAAATTGATAACGCAGTGTCTTACAGCAAGCTATGTTTCTTGCTGTTCCCCAGCCTCACTGCTCCAATGGTTAGAAACCTTCCTCTGGTTTCCAGGCTAAATGTACTCATGGCCATTTGTATCCATTTGTCCTTGTGCCAACATTGTTTTAAGTTTAACACAAGATATTTATAGACCAATCGTGTCCTCTCTAACCTTTAATGTTGTTAGGCTGAACAAGGCAATCCCTTTCAGTTTCCTGTTGTTAACTAGGGTCTCCAGCCCCCCACCAAGCACCCTACCAACACTTAGTTACGCTTGCTCCAGTTGCAATTCGTCTTTTTCGAATAGAGGTGACTATGGCTGTATGCAGCCTCCTCACAGGGTCCACCAGTACTTGTTCTCCATCATTAATACTTTTCAGGCCCATGTTGGAAATACTTGATACAGCCTTGATCACGTTTACCGTTTTCCATGGCCGTGCTTTACTGCCATTTCATAGTAATCCTGTGACCAGCCAAGGCGCTTGAGACTTTTTATTTTCCCAGAGAAACTCTGACACTTCAGCCTTACGTGCCAAACCTTACATTTGGCACAATTGAATTTCATCCTATTCCCATTGTTCCCATCCTCAAGGTCACGCAGTTCTTCCTGTTTGATAGGCTGGGGCCTCTTGTGTATTGACAAGCGCTCGCATGTCTGTGTCATCAGGAAATTTCACGATGCACTCCTCCCTCTTTTGTGCGGCAGGCAAATATTAACTAAAAGCAGTCCCCAAGCAGCCCTCAGACAATTCCGCTAGCAACTGCCTTCCAGATTCGCTTTCAGCACATCTTGCTTTCATCTCCCATCTTGCTATCTCTCACCTATCTTGCATGGATGGTTGAGGTTCTTCCAGAAGGAAAGATGATGCAAGTCCATAGGGCTTGCCAGACCCAACCAGTGCTTTAAAAGTGGTTGCGTTCCCTCAGGGACATTGCAAAAGAGAGTCAAAGAAGTTGCAAAGCACTGACATTTCATAACAATGCTAAGCCAAGAAAATATAATACTGAGGGTAACTTTGGATGGGAGGGAATATTCTTCAACATCTGGTGGAGCACATGCAGTAATTCTGGCAGCACAGAAAGCCCCATGTCCTCAAGAACCCTTTCACATAAAAGGTCACCGGTCTGAGAAAACGGAGGACATGAAGCCATGTTATTGCTGATCAGAGGAAAACCGAGTCCAAGGAGAGGTGGGATGCAGAGACAAGGGCCAGGTGGCTGTTTCAGGGGAGAGGCGGGCAGATGTCAAGAGTCCCAAATCTGCTGTCACGCAGCTCTGGCCTGAGCCTCAGGCCTCTGTTTTGCCTCAGATAAAAAGCAAGTCTTTTACGGAGATGATTTATAGGTGGTTTACATCAATGCAGCAATGCAGGAAGAAAAGGGATACTCCTTTCTGGGAGTAACCAGCTCTTTGTGAGGCAGAAGATTATGGCCCAGCATCTAGTCAACCCTATAGTTGCTAAGACAAACTCAGGAGGAGACTGGAAAAAATGAACCCCGATATACTCAGGTCTCCTGTCTCTGGGGAAGATCATGGCCTCCTTTTTCGAACCAGCCAAGAGGTAGGGGCAAATCTTGGCCACGCTGAGGTCAGCAACAAACTTTGATTGGGCTGAAGATGTCAGCTTCAGCGCTCAGGTGCTTCAGGGCTCCAAGGGTGACTCTGGGAAAAGCCACCGCTTATGGTGGGGCCTGGTTGGAAGAAAGTTGCAACCGCTTGCTTTTGAAAGACTGAGAGCTCTTCAGCAAATTCCAGCTGGTGCCTTCCAGAGGACCCAAACGTGTATTTCAGGCAACTGCAGCGCCTGTGAGTACATCAGACCTTGAAGTACGGCTGGAGCAGTGAATAACGCAGTGAGACTACCTGAGTGCCAGTGTGAGACCTTGAGCCAGCTGCAGAAACAAAGCCCCAAGTGTCTGTAAATGCCAGAAAGTCTGAAAAATGAGATACATATGCATATGCACCACAAAGTTTGTCCTGGATCTTTGGAGAGAGCACCTTATTAGAGCTGCCGGTAGTGTTACACCAACTCAGAAGCACTTTTTTTCATGTGCCTCTTGAAAAAAATAGCCCTTTCTAGTTTCATTACAAAGCATCAACTGCATGGGACAAGCTGAGCACGTTTGGCACCCGCTGCTATGAAGGAGAGCTCCTCAGCTCCTGCGCCGACTGATCCCTCCATCCTGGCTGTGAGTCCCACCCAGTCAGAGCTTGGGAGTCAGAGCTGAGCAAAGCCAGAGCTTAGACAGATTTTAAATAACATCTCTCCACCTGGCAGGATTTCTTGCAGTCCATCCTGCCACTTTCTGTGCGTTCCTAGCTCTGTGTTCGGGAGTGTGTGAAAGCTGAACAGTGAAAGCCATGCCTTGCTTTTCTTTTTCATCCCATCCTCACCCTGTACAGAGACAGTCAGAGTCCTACTCCCAAAGCCCTTAGCTGGGCTTCCCCTCTGCTTGCTTACCTTCCATGGGTTGCAAGTACCAGTGAGGGTGTGCCTGCTGGGACAGGGGGAGAGGCAACTGCAGTTTCTCCAAGGTAAAATGGAGATCAGCAGCCCATGAGGGCGATGCTGCTGCCAGCTGTGTTGGCTGTGCCCCCAGCGGGGCTGCCACAGTGCTGCCACGGCATGGGTCCCCACTCCAGCAGAATAAACCCAGAGGGGCTGTTGTTTTTTTTTCTGGAGGGAGAGTTTTGGGCTAATTCAGCCTCATTGCCTGCTGAGCCAGGGACACGGGCACAGGCGCTACCCCGTGGCAGGTGGCATGTGCCGTTGGGACCCCCGAGCATTGCCTTCACTTGGAAATGGTGAGACCTGTGCCTTTAAATGAAAACAATTTGTGTTATGGGACCAGTAAAATAATTATTAACCAGATTGATTCATATCGGGGGGGTGAGTGACGGATGTGGCTGCAGCAGTGCTGCTGCACAGGCTTCTTTCTTCCTCTTGCGGGGTCAAGCTCCTTCGTTTTATCCCTCTCATTAATGAAAAGCGAGACCAGGAGCCCTTGCCCTTCCCTCTGCTGCCCACTGTGCCTGTGTCCCGGCGTAAAGCCATGGGCACGTTTCCTGGCACTTCTGCACATTGTCTGAGGCGGCAGCTTGAGCCCTGCATGTGCGTGCACACGTGCGTGTGTGTGTACGTATGCATTCCTGTGAGCACATACACAGAACAGACCTAATCGTTATCCTCGGCAAGAACATGAGTAAGAGGCTTTGCCTCTGTTTAACCAAGTAATAATTAACACCTGGTGAGAAGGTCTAACGGCCATAGCATCTCATTAACATATTTTGACGGACAATATCCTCTTCAAATATACTTTGAAGAAAGAGGACCAGCTTTGGAAAGGACACAGAGTGTTTGTAAACTAGCCATCCCTCATTTTCAAACTCCTTAACTCTGCTCAGCGAGATGCAAAGGACTCCAGGCTGGTATAAAATACTTGCCAGAGCATGGTAATGTATACACCAAGCCGCAGCAGTTAGCTTTACTTTCTTGTAATATCGCAGCTTCTTGCCTTTTACTGCTCCATCCCAATTTTGAGGGGCTGTCAGTTGTAGCACCTAAGGACCCTCTCCAGACCTCATGCAGAAACGTAATAAAATATGACTTCCACCCCAAAGAACCTGCCATAAGAGTAGAAGGCAAGACAGAAACAGTCAGATCATTATGGACAGCTTAACTACTGCTAAGTTTTCCATAGGAGACCCCTGTAAATGCCTGGGCCACCGTCTGGATTCAGGGAACCACAGCTGGAGGTGAGGAGCTCCAGGCACAGGGCACCTAAGGGAGCTTTAGCAAAAGCAAAGATTTAGGAATTTAAATTGGTGTAGCACAGTCATTGTGGAGGCTGCAAGACACAATTTCTTTCTAATCTGAAAGAAGACCTGATTTCTTTTGTATGCACAGATGTACCTCGTGGTCAGATGCGATGGCTGGAGGGAGCAAGGTGCGTTGTTAAATACACAGCCTCTGAGTGTGGAGTAACCTGACATAAAACAACTCCTGTTCTACTTCTTTCCACATCTGTCACCCCATCCAGCTAAGCTGAAGTGCTTCACACCTTGGTCTTATCCCTAGTAATGCCAAAAGGGCACATGGAGCACACACAAAGAATAATGTGGGTTGGATGGTTCCTCTGAAGGTCATCTGGCCCAACCCAGCGCTCACAGCAGAGCCTACAGACACACAAAACTACGTGAACTGGCCTCAAAAGAGCATGTTGAAAACAGGCCTCACCTCCAGATGACCTGAACTTTAAAAATAGCCGTGTCAGAAGCCAGCCTGAATTGTGTGTGTCAGACCCATTACTAATTGGCCTTGTCTTTTATGTAATTGCACTTTCAAGAGCTAGATATTATTATTATCCGCTGCCAATGGGCATCAGTCTTCAGAAGCGGCTGACTTCAAGCCCCTGCTTTCAGGGAGAATCTTTCACCATTTATTTTAGTGGGGAACCCTCTGTTATTTAGCAGATCACCGGTGTGCTGAACTTTGGCTACTTGATGGTACATCGGTGCTGCTCGGCCTGGCTCTGCGGTCCGTGGCTTGCTATAGGGTGAGGAGAGCAGGGGAAAAAGGAGCAAGGATGAAGCACGATCTCGACTTCTCCATAGCCCAGACTGACTTGGCGGGCGGGTGAGCCTTTGGCCAGCTGTGGCACATTTGGCTCCCTCCCGGCCCCAGCCGTTGCGCTGGGGGTGGCATCTCTGAGGGGGTCCCTGGGTCAGCAGCCTTTTGTGGAGCTGCTCTTGAGGCAAAGGGAGCTAAACACCCTACGGTCCTTGGGGCGACGCGTCGAGCCCCATCCAAGCCTTTGTTCATTGCTAATTCTGCTGCTCCGGCTTTGTGTGCTGCAACACTGCGATTGGCACTTGGCCGGACTGTTGGTGCCTTGAAGAAATATCTGTATAAATGCGATTATGTGGGAGTGTGCATCTGTGTGTCTGTGTGGGTTCAACCACGCCAAACCCACTTTATTTCTAGTGTAAAAAGCACAGTGGAGAAAAATCCGAGGTTTCTGGAGTCCCATGCAACACTGTGTGTCCTCGCGGGTAGGAGAAGAAATAGGAAAGACTGTGTCATCGCAAAGCTGCAGCCCAGATCTTGCCATTTCTATGTCTGACGTTGTGTGTGCTGTTTGACTTGTTGTCATCGTCACCCAGTTTGCGCTGCCTTTTGGCAAAGGGAGGAACAACAGCAGGCAATGTTTTACAGAATACAGTATCTGGCTATGGAAATGCCGTGCAACATGACTCATTTTGTGTAAAGGACACGAAATTACAACTACGTGCCACATGAGAGATGGTAGCTGGGCTCGAATCAAAAAACATCCTCATCCAGGAAGGGTATTCAAGCATGTGCTTAATTTAAGAACATACTTAATC